GTGTCCTTGGTGCATACGAAAGGCTGTCTTTGGAATATCAGCCTTGTGTAGCCGGATCTGATGGTAACCGGCCCTAAGGTCGAGCTTAGAGAAATAACGGGATCCTCCTAGCTCGTCGAGCATGTCGTCGACACTCGGTATAGGAAATCGATCTTTGATAGTCGCGGCATTCAGTGCGCGGTAGTCGGTGCAAAACCTCCACGTGCCGTCTTTCTTCTTGGCTAGTAGCACTAGTGATGAGAACGGACTTGAGCTGTGCTGAATGAGCCCGGACTCAAGCATCTCGTTAACTTGCCTCTCTATTTCGGTCTTCTTAAAGTGCGCATACCGGTATGGATGGATGTGTACTGCATGCTGCTCATTGACCAAGGGTATTTGGTGATCAAACTCCCGGTGTGGCGGCAAGCCCTTAGGCTCACCCAGGACTCGGTTGAACTCCTCGAGTAATGTGCGCACCTCGCCTTGATGTATGTCGGGTTCGGATGTGGGTGTGCTCGTGTCCTCGACCACGATGGCGAAGATTTGGCCTCCCCCGCGCCAAACCCTCTCTATGCTCTTGAGACCAACCTCCTTGGTCCCACTAACTTCACTAGCTTTTAAGGTAACTTGTTGTTCTCCCGCTTTGAACTTCATGACCCCAGTTTTGTAGTTGGTGGTCACTTCTCCCAATCCTTCAAGCCGTTGGACTCCTAATACCACATCGGGTCCAACTAGGGGTAATGCATAGAGATCGGCCTTGATGGTGACTCCTTGGAACTTGATGGGCACCTTGCGATAGGACTCGGTGCACCTTAACCGTTCACCATTGGCTACTGGACTTCAAATGGCTCGATCGTGGTGGTGGACAAGTTTAGCTTTTGGGACAGCGTGGTGTTGATGAAATTGTGGGATGACCCATTGCCACGAGTACGACCACGCAGCGGTCCTTGACCCATGCCGGTAGCCGCAACGTCCTCGGTCCTCGGGTACCAGCCATGGCGTGCATCGAGATTTCAGCTTCTTCTTCGAGCACTTCAGTTTGAACTTCGCTCTCCTCAGCCTCGGGTTCTTCCTCATTATCGGAGTCAGTGACATCGATTAAAAACGCCTGCTTGCATCGGTGGCCCGGTGTGAATTTTTCTTCGCATTTGAAGCACAGGCCTTGTTCGCGTCGGCGCCTCATCTCCTCGAGCGACAGACGCTTGACTCCCGGGATTGGTGGTCGAGCGTTACTTGGTGGCCGTATGCTGGGCGCGACATTCGTCGTGCGCCGTGGCTTGGGGAAGCGTGCGTCTGCCAGTCCCCTTCGCGTAGCGGCGAGGTGATCGTCGCGACGTCGGGCGATCTCCATGGCCGCATGCATCGAGTCGGGCCGCTCCAATCGAACCTCAGCGGCTAGATCATACTTAAGCCCGTCAATGGATACCCCGACCAACGCAGCCTCGGGCCAGTCCCTGACGTGACAGGCTAGCTTTTCGAACTCCTTCATGTAATCGCGCAGGCTGCCGGTTTGGCGTATGCGCGAAAGGGCCTCGTCATAGTTATGGTAGTTGGAAGTTCCGAAACGCGTGAGTAACTCGCGCTCGAAATCATCCCACCTAATGGCTCGCTGCCGTTTGCGGTACACATTCGTGAGCCATTGCCACCACACGTTGGCCTCGCCATCTAGGTAATAGGCCGCATATTGAACACGGTCATTGGCCTCGGTCTCGTTGAGCTCAAAGTATTGCACGGCGCGGTTGAGCCATGCCTCTGGATCGGTGCCGGTGAAGGTGGACAGCCTGAGCCTCGGTTTGTCGAGCCTTGGGCGGTCGTGCACGCTGGACGCTTGCGACCGTTGATCGAAGTCCTCCTCGTGCTCGTGCTTATCGGGCCGATGTTCCTTCTCCTCGGGTCGATCGCGCCTTGGCTGCCGTGGAGGTGGCCGCGCAAAGCGTTGGAAGCCGCGCACCATCTCCTCGAACCCTCGGTTCACGGTTTTCATTAGATCGCTAACCGATGCTTTGGTCGCGTCGAGCCCTTCACCGAAAGTATCCATGACTTCGCTCATACTTCGAACTTGAGCGTCTAGGTTGTCGATCTTGTCCTTCATCTCCTTGTTGGCCATAGCTTTCTTTTCTTGCTTTCGTTCTTTACTTCGAGGACTCGTCTTGAAGATTTTTTTTTTTTTTTTAATAGGGGGACGAAAATAAAGAAGAAGAAAAAGGAAAGGGAATGGGGTAGGAAAAGACACACGATCTAGATACTCTCAATGAAAGCACCAATGATGAAGATCGCGTGTCCCGATTTTCGATAAGCCACAAACCAGTGCCTTGAATCGCCGATAGGTGTCTCGAGGTTTGCACAACCGCACCCCTTGAAACGATAAAATTGCAAAAGAAATCGAAAAGATATCTAAGGCAAAGTGTTTGAACAAAAGTTCGGTTTTTCTATTAATTTTTGAATGATAAAAATAACAAGAGGAAGGGCCTTTATATAGGCATCAAATAGATCTATTCCTAATCTAGCTATAACTCTAAGAAAGCAATAAAATATTAGGTATCCTAAACAATCTAGAAATCATAATGGAATAAGGAAACCAAATAACTAGGGGATCTTGAAAAGCCTTGACTTGCACTCCAAGCCAAACATCCCAACCGCCTACTCGCCGCCCTTGGGTCTCGCGCGCCTTGCCTTAGTCCTCGAGGACTAAAGTCGCGCCGCCCGTCCCCGCGCGTGCTTCCCCGCTACGCGCTCCGCTCGAGTCCTCGCGCCCAGCGGACTCCTCGCGCGCGTACCTGCCACCCGAAGCCTCCTCGCGTGCGCCCCTCGCGTCGCCCGCTTCCGCGCTACTCGCCTCAACTTTCGCAGTCACATTTTGNTCCGCGCCACTCGCCTCAACTTCCGCGGTCACATTTTGCCCGAGCGTTAGCCGCGCGCTCTTGCCCGTTAGGTCCCCCTCGTCGGCCTCGCATGCCTCGCACGCGATGGCCTGCGTCTCGCCCGCCTGCCGCGCTAACCTCTTGCGCGCATGATAGGCCCGGCTTGAGGCGTTCTTCAGTTGCCTAGCCACATCCGCATCACGCCTGTGCCACGCCGTGCCAACTGCTTGTGTATATAAATGAGATCGGCACTTTGCGAGAACATCATCCCTCGACTCGAGAACATAAAAACCCTACCCTCTCGTCTCTTTTCTCTCATTTATCATCTTCCTTTCATATTTTTCATCGTAGAACACGGATTTGAACTAGGATTTCACTATTGCTTTCGGATTAAGCTTGTTTATCGTATTCAACCTTGGGATTTCATCACTCGTAAGATTTTCTTTTCATTTAATCTATGAATATGTGTGTCTTGATTGTTGAGATTGTTAGAGTTGAATCAATTATGATTGGCTAAATCCATATGCTAGGGATAGGGGATTGATGTTTTGATATCGTTTGTGATTGTCGGGTTCAGGATTGTTCAATTTCATAGGAGTTGATCTTTTTCTAAGGTTTTTCAATTGTCGGGCTCGAGTATTTAGAACTGTTGAAGGGTGACACTTCAATCCCCAATTGTTTGCAATTGAGTTCGATAAATTCTTGCTTGATGTTGGTTATTCTAAACGGACTAGTTGATTAAACACCTTCTAGTCTACTCTAATCGACTCTTAGAACTGAAATGGGAGGAGTCGGTCGAAATAGGCTCGTATGAACTAGGCTTGTTCGTAACTGTATTGCCTAGAAGTTAAATGAATTGTTAATTTGTCGTTCTAATTTGTTCTCTTGTTACGAAAAGTTATTGAGAATGAGTACTTGAACGTGTCGATTATTCAAATCACTTAGCTGAACAATCTCTTGCTTGATTGTATTTTCGAACCAAAACGGATATCCCCGACTCCCTAGCTTCTTAAATCCTGATTGTTCTTCGTCGTTGCTTGTTATTTCTATTTACCTTATTTGAAGTCTTTTTCGTAGTTAATAATCAAACCAAATCATCTGAATTAGAATGTTTAGGAATTTTATTTTCTTTTGTGTAGTTGAATAAACGTGCATAGTAATCCGGCTAACCTTCCTCGAGAAACACGACCCGGTGTTCGAATCTTTCGATTCTACTCTGGAAAAATATTTACAACAAAATTGGCGCCGTTGCCGGGGAACGAATCGTTCGATTCGGTACTCGGTAAATATAATAATTTGTATACAACATAAACTTTTTGCTAAAGTTATTTATTCTAAAATTAATATTATATTTTTTTATCTTATTTAGCGATTGTATTTTTAAATAAGTTAATTTATTTTAATGTTATATTAAAATTCCTTAAAACCGAATAATCAAATGTTATAATAAATTTAATATTTTTAAGCTAATAAATTGGCGATCTCTCAAAATTACATTATTTATTATATTTTATGTAATTAATATAGTGGTTCATATGCAATCAAATAGTTGTGTACTATTTATTTTAACCAATGATCAAATTTTAAAACATAATATCATTATCTTATTTATATTTTTATTATTATATGCATAAATATAACTTATAATACTCTATGTTTAAAATATAATACAATTGTGTAACTTATAATTTTAATACTAGCATATAACTTAAAATATTCTATTTACACTGTGCATTTTAATACTAGCATAAATATAACTTAAAATATTCTATTTACATTGTGCAAATGCACAGGGTCGATTACTAGTTTATATCAAGTCACACCTTTAATGTGGTGTTGGTAACATTGCAGACTTGTTTTGAATCTAGAAAACACTTTCTATTGTCTTAACAACAGTAGTTTTAGCAATATCTAAACTGGATTTAGACATCAGCTCATCAACATATTTTAAATTTTGATTCTATTTTTTTATATTTTTACTTTTACATAGTCAATAGTTTTTTTTTAATCAATTACATAATCAATTATAAATTAATTGCATACTTAATTACGACAAATTGGACCGGCTGTAATAATATAGATATAGATTATTTGTGTGATAAATATTTCAAAACTGACAAGGGGTGTCATTTTCTCGATAAAATAACACAGAAACGAAAAATGAAATGGGCCGTATCAAAGCCCATCAAAGTAGCGTCTATAGTAAAATGTGGCAGAAAGTCTAGAGGCGCATTATTGGTGGTGTTGGAGATCTAGGTTTCCCTCATCCACGGCAGGAAGTGAGCTCTGTATTAACAACATGATATTTCGTTTGGGAGCTTTCAGTTGTTTTCTTACGAGATCTGTTGTTAGTTCATCGAATAGGATTATTATAGGGGACGTATGTTTTTTTCCTAATAATAGAATGATAATAAGCAGCAGCAGGAGAAGCAGAACAGATAATAAATCGCGTTATGTTGCGCGAAATTTTTCTTCTCATGATAATAAATCGCATTATGTCGCGAGGAATTCTTCTTCTGATGATAACAATAGGGCGGCAGACAATAAATCGCATTATGTGGCGAGGAATTCTTCTTCTGATGACACTAATAGGAGCAGCGTTAAGTCGCCTTGGCTTATGCTTCCCCCCTTGGTGGAATGCGGCAACATGTTGTATTATAATTTCTACAATTTGGCAGAATCCCAAATAGAGAGAAGAAGATCAACATTGGAAGGAGACGATATTGATGCCAAAATTGTGGGTTCCTCTCACGGCTGGATAGCTGTGCTGAACCGACGCAATCACGGGCTGCTCGTCTGGAACCCAATCACTGAGGTACGCATAAACCTTCCATCCCTCCTCACCTTGCCCGATCCCCAAATTAACTGCTGTGGAATCGTATCCAAGCTCATACTCTCCTGCTCCCCCGACCACGATCTAGATCAATGTCGTGCCATGATGATTTTTGGGCCCTTTGACCGGCTGGCTTTCTGCCAGCCCGGCTGCAGCACCCACTGGACCCCCATCGGCCATTTGTATTGGACTAAGTATTTGTATGGGGAGGCAAGCCACCACAGCGACGAGGAGGACGACTATGTCAGGCGGTACACCGATTGCGTCTATTCCCCCACACACAAACTCTTCTTCTGTTATGTGATGTGGAGATTGGAGTGTTGGGATCTTCGGGACCTCGAGTGCCCCAGGATTTGTTGGTCGGAGATTGTACGCTATATGTCTGGGGTTGCTAGTGAACGAGAGACGAGAGCCCTCTGTTGGAGATATCCGGATGTGATGACACAGCAATTCCTTGTGGTGGCAGAGCAGATGAATCAGCTTTTCCTCATGGATCGACAAGTATGCTTACGGATGGGCCCTGACGCTACCTATCGTCCGCATATCTACTTTGGTAAGTATAGGGGTTGGGATGACAAATTCCCCCAACAAACCTTTTCTTTCGATGTTTTTAAAGTTGACTATATTTCGGGCGGCGACGACACTCAGCCCAAGCTTATTATGACTAGCGTGGAGGGTTCGCTGGATGGGCTGGCAATGTTTATTGGCAAGAACCACTCCTTTGCCATCTCCACACCAACCAACAATGGCCTAAAAAGTGATTGTATTTACTTTACTGACACAAATAGACACCAGCCTCCAGCGGGCTCGATGTTTGGGGGCCACGATATCGGCATTTATCATTGCGCAACCAGAACATTTTCTGATTGTTTTTATCCACGGGACACCAACAAAATAAAGAAGATTGTGCCTGCACCCATGTGGTTTACTCTCAACGACAGCACGCACTAATGGATAATAGTTTTTAATTGATATTTTTTAATCATAGTTAATTTTGAAAATATGTGGGATAATTAGTTGTTAGTGAATATTTAAGTTGAAATATTAAAATATTATTTAAAATAAAATAATTAAAGTTGATTTGGTGTAAAAGTATGAGAAAAATGATTAGAATTGATGGTTAGTTAAAATTATGTGAGTGAACGAATAGTAAATTAAATTGATGTGATGTTTAAAAATGATTGGTTGATATTATTTATTTATATTGATAATATTGGAGATAGCGAGATTGTGTTAAAGTTGAGTTAAATTTCAGAT